ATTATAATCGTGGCTCGTGTACTTGGGATCATTACTCCGCTACCACATTAAATTTAATATAAAAATATAATCTATTTGCCTAAAATGTAAACTTATATATGATAGCGCGGCAATTATTTTCCATTATACTGGCAATATCTCAATATATTGAAATTCAAAACCTTAATATAAAACATTATAGAGCAAGATATTCGCAAAATGGTGTAATAACAATATATTCTAACATATATAGTTTTATCTTTAAATCGATAAATTCTCCTCGTAATAGACCTCGAATCTCAGACGCCTAGCATTCCTTAAATCTTTCATATTTATCATTCCTAAATATTATATTTTGTGTTAAAATTCAAAAAATATCGAAAATTGATTATTATTATATATTTAATATTCTTATTCGATCAAACCCTTAAAAAATAAAAATAACAATCTCCCCAACAGCATACGGTACTCTTTTTAGTGTTTGCACCCTCCTACACCCCCCGTAAAGCGTAATAGAACCCTGGTGGTGTCCTGATCCTAGTGGAACCTTAATGGAATCCTTGTAGAATCTAAGGTCAGGCCCGCCCCGGAGCCTATCTAGGCTAAGACCCCAAAGCTGGAAAAACAGAAAAAGAAAATATATATCCAATATAAATAATTTTCATAATAAATTATAGTTTCTTTGAAGTATTAAAATTTTCTAATTTGAAATTTCTTTTTATTCCCAACCTGTATTAACTACTATAAGTTTATGCTTTATTAAAATTTGTTATAGGATATCTGCATAGATAAGGATGTCATTGCATAGGATTTAGGCATAAACCTTTTTGCTACATCTTGAACAATTAGGATGTTCTGTACACGTATAAAGATATTAATAAATTGCGCTTTGTACACTAGAATATAGAGGTACAAAAAACCGAAGAGACGTATTCGATACATATATATATATATAGATATGTGTTTTTGTTATTATTTTTTAAGGTTTAGGAATTCAGAATGAATTTTGTAGATAGTCTAAGTAAATGAAGAAATAAGACATAGTGAAAAAATGAATGAATGAAGAATATTAAATATAATATATATATAATTATGAAATTGCATTAATATAGTATGTTAATTTGTAATTGATTTTATTTAGGATTTCGCTTTATTTTTAAAAAAATAATAATAAATAAATTCAATCGCTCGGATATATCTAAAGAAATCGATTATTGCTCAAAGTTATTCTTACATTCTTTAAATTAAATATTTAATTTTTAATATATATATATATATTAGTTTTTGTGATTATCATAACACTTTTGCAAAATGTATATCGTATAATTAAACATTCGGAAATAAAATTCGTGGCAATATAATGTTTTCACAACATCTATTATTTATTTCGGTATAATCTCCCCATAGTATCCCCCCCCCCCGTCGTTAGAGCCCGCACACCCTCTACGTATTTTTAGACGGGTGGTTCCTTTAAACCGTTATGTCGTTCTAGGCTCGCTCTGCATTTTCTAAATATATTCGTTCCCTATCACCCATTCACACATTTTTTCATGCATCTTTATTATGTTTGTCTTTTGTTAGAGAACTAGCTTTATATTAATGTCCATGCCAACACAATTCCTTATAATTTTCTTTTTATAAACAAACACGCCAATTAAAACCAACCGAAAAACAATCTTCCAGACTTCCCAAACCAACCCTAAGCCAACCATAAACTAACCCCAACCTTTAAAACCACCCATAACCCAACCCTGAATAAATTCCAACCAGCCCACCCACCATACCACAACGAGAAAAGGGAGGGATTAAGAAAGGGTGCGGAAAGAGAAAGAAAAAGAATAAACTATATATTACGCCTCCAAGGTAAGGGGCTAAGATAACGATTAGGGAAAGAATAGGCTAAAATAAGGGGGCAGCATTACATTCCCAAACATTTACCCTATCGCCAAATAGAAATTCGTTTGCCAACAAGACCGCCATTTTGGAACTCAAATTGCCCAATCAACCCTCCATAAATTTTCGTTTCATCCTCTCGGTAGAATATAATATGTATTTTCTTGGAATCCTAAATTATTATTAAACAAATAAGATTTACTCCCAAATAATTCTCATCCATACTCTTATTTATTATATTAAAATTCTAATAAAAACTCTTACTACCAATACTTCATTCCTACAAATCTATATTACTTTCGTTGTAATACAATCCTCATTTTCTTAAAATTCTACACCATTACCAAATAAATACAATTTACTCACAAATATTTCTTACCCATCTTAAAATTCCAAAAAAACTCTTACTACCGATTCTTCCTTCTATATAATCCTCTCATTATAACAAAACTTTCATTTTCTTAAACCATTTCTAATCAAATAAAAATATCAAAAATTGTAAAAACAAATCTTTGTTTCTCCAATCCTTTCGTTATAATATACTTCTCATTTGCTTAAAATCACCCCCAACCATTACCAAACAAATACAATTTATTCCCAAATATTTCTCTCCAATATTCCTATACCTTCCTATTAAAATTCCTAATATATATGTTTACCGAACCATCATTCCTCTACCCACCCAACAAATAAAAATACCATTATAAACTTATTTAAAATAACTAAAATAAATATTATTTATTTAATGTATACTTTCTTTATAATTATAATTTCTTAAATAAAATATAATAATAAAAATCAATACCAAATTATAATTTCCAAAAGTATATTAAATATTTATAATAAACATTAAATTCCATAGAAATAACAATACACAACACAATCCCAATTCCGAATCCAATATATATATATATATAAATATTTGTTAAATAAATATATCTAAAAACATAAATAAACCAATATATATATATATATACATATATTAATAAAGAATTTAAAAAATAGAACATAGACATATGTAAATAATTATCAATACAATACATACATATATATATATATATATATTTAAAAACATATTAATTCCATCAATGGCAATATCAACAAAAACATCAAAAAGGAAGGAAACAGAGAGAAAGAGAGAGAGAGAGAGACAAAAAACGAATAACAAAGACACAGAGGGAAAGAAAAACATATTAAGGGAAAAAAATCGAAAAGGACAAAACAATAAGAAAAAAAAAGAAAACCGAAAATTAACATAAAACAACAAATAGAAAAAAAAAAGAGAGAAGAAAAAGAACAGGAAAAAAATAAAGAGAGAGAAAGAGAGAGAAAGAGAGAGAAAGAGAGAGAAAGAGAGAGAAAGAGAGAGAAAGAGAGAGAAAGAGAGAGAAAGAAGAAAACACGAGAGATAAAAAAAGAAAACAAAAGAAACACAAAAAAAGAAAGAGAGAGAGATAGAAGAAAAAAAGAGAATGAAAGAGAGAGAGAAAGAGAGACCCCTGGCAGGAGGAGTTGCTGCTAGCAGAGATGCCCGAGGTGGAGGCAATAGCTTCCCATAGAAGAGACCCAATAAGACCTAAGTAAGCTATCCCTCATCTTATAGGCCATACAACAACACCAAAGAAAAAGAAAAAAAACAGAGAAAAAAAGAGAAAAAACGAGAAAAAAAAGAAAAAAACAAGAGAAACAGAAACAAACTTGTGTTTTTTCTCTGAAAGCGAAAAAAAAAGAAAAAGAAAAAAATAGAGGAAACAAAAAAGAGAGAGATTAAATAAAAAAAAAAAGAAAAAAAGAAAAATAGAGAGAGACAAAAAGATAGAAAACAAAAAAAATATAAAAACAATAGAAAAAAAAAAGAAGGGAGAGAAAGAAAAAGAAAAATAAAGAGAGAGAGAGAGCGAGAAAGAAAGAAAGAGAGAAAGAAAGAAACAATAACAATAAAAAAAAAAATCAGCAAACCAGAGCGAAAAAAAGAAAACAACATTTAAAAAAGGGAAATGCGGCACACAACAACGTATATATCATTTTTGTGAATCGGCTTGCAAAATAAAACATAAACACACAAAAAAATAAAAGCAAAAACAAATATGCACAAATATCACCCAAGTAAACAAACGTGAACACGCGTAAATAAACAGAGAGAGACATAAACACAAACAAATAAAGATAAACAACAGACACAAATACATAAAGACAAACAAAAACAAACCGAAACAACCCAAGAAACAAAAAGACACATACAAACAAATAAAAATATAAAATATAAAGAAATATACGAAGATATCCGGAAAGTGCCAGTTTATAAAAATATATATATATATAAATTTTCATTTTCTAAATAGAATAAATTATCAAACCTCACCCAATAAATAAAAATATAAAATACAAATCACATATTATTATCAATTATTATATTAAATTAACCATCTTTCCTATCCTTCAACCTAAAAATCAAAAATATAATATATCAAAAATACAATATCATAAAAAATATAATATTAATTAATATATACATTTACCAAATATTCAACATTACCTAATATTCTTTAAATAACATATTCATCCATTATTTTTTCTATATATATATATATTGGATTTTTTTTCCCATAAAACAAACCTAAAATATCCTTCATCAAACCCAATTCCCAAATATCAAATTTCTCAATAACAATAACTCTTCCAATCAACAAATCACAATCTAACATAAAATAATTTATCAACAAACACAATACTAATATCAATCCTCAACAACAAAATTATTAAAACCCATTACGAAAATAATACGAATGCCTTTCCAAAAACATATTATCATAACCCAATTCCCAAAAGGTTTCCATATGCCTTTCTTCAAAATAAATTCATCCCAACAATAATTCCTCCTAAATATAATAATAATATATCAAACTATTCATCATCATTACACTAACAACCACTTTCAACCATATCAGCCTTACAAATCCATAGAGTATATCCCTTCCCATCGGCACAAAAAATGGGGAAACCTTAATTCTCCAAACCGGACATTCAATATTTCAATCTACCATATATATATATATATATCGTTGTTTCATGAATATGTTGTCAATGATATTCTAATTATTATCTGAAATATTAATTTATGTATTGTTCTAATGTGACCTAGAAGAAATCCATCCAAGAAGAAAAGCGATCCAGCCGTACAGAAGCACCAGGTGCGCGCCTCAATCGAAGTACGTTTCAAATGCAGGTAGTGAATAGGCACGATTGCCCTGAAGGAAAATGGAAGATCATGCAAACAACTGGGGGCAAGCTCACATACCTCCACATGATGCATTTTTTTGCAGGACAACCTCTATGTCACAGTGTCAGAGGTTTTCTTAGCTTCAAGCAAGCCTTTCAAACCGAGCAACAAATATAGGAGAGCCTGTTTCCAAAATCACCAACGCTAAGTTCAACAACCAGCACATTGAATGTTGCAAGCTCAACTAGCATATTCACAGGTCAGTGCAAAGCGGCAAACACCGGCTGGCTTTGCCTGAGGCATGCACAAAAGGCGCGGCGCATCAGAGCGGACTTGAAGAGAGATGTAGTGAACCAGGAGATCATCTCGTCCAGCGTGCCGCAGCTCCTTGCACTGGATGGATTGAGAAAACCAACATGGATTCGAACCTTCATTGGTCTGTGGGTTCCAAGAGTTGATGATATGCAGAGCTGGTTGATCCAAGAGGCTGCACTGTCCACTAGGTGGTATATATTGAAATTCAGGTTCACATCAACCGGCCATCCATGCTCTCCATGTTAAATTAAATTTCCAACCTCAATGAAATCTGAAAATATAGTGAACAATCGTTGCTGGGGTGTGAAGCATTGATCTATTCAAGACTGGGAAATTGTCCGCCCCTTGTGGAAACATGAAATAGTATGGAATAATGTTGAACCCTGATCAATAAATCCATCCTACAATGCGGGGTGTCACCCGAAAAAAAAGTGAGGAATTCCCACTGCCTATGAAATGCATAGGTTTGTTGATCTGGGGTCGACATCCAGTGCGGGTCGTTCGGGCCTTGTTGAGAGGAACTCTGCGACATCCTGGTGGTTGGATTGCAAGGCCGTCTTCAGTCGGACCCGCTCGTGACCCAGGCGTTCCACCTGACAGTCAAAAGAAGTCTTTAGGAAACATCCAAGACCTCCAGCCAATGACCACGCAAAAAAGCGCTCAGCAGGCTTATTTGCCCATTAACTAAAAGCAGCTCTTGACGCATGGCCATGGCTCCTGATCGACTGAGCAATGCGGATGGACAAAATCCGCTTGATTTCGAACCGGTTAAAACGTGTTTAACCCTGGCCCTCTTCAAAGGGAAAAAGGCAAGGCTACCATGTTGAAACAAGGGTTTGGCAATTCTGGTGTAAAGTAGAATTTGCGACGCAAATGTCTTGCGCTGATTATGAATTTCAGCGTCTACACAGAGTCCCAGCACCAACCACTCCCGACAAAGCAGGGCGCTCACGTCACATCTTATTTCAGCGGTGGTGTGCATGTGTAGTTCATGTTTGATTCATGTCATGCCAATGAACAACTGGTTTGTCAAAGCAGGGATCCTTTTTGGCTGGGTCCGTTGCGACACATGCTGAGCTGGGTATTGCTCAATCATTTGAGAGGCTTCCACATCATAGCATCCACCTGTGGAAGGATAACATCCTGCAGCATCTGGCGGTTTCAGCAGTATTCATAGGGTTTCATCCATCCCATGCCCAACTGTGTTTTCTAGGGTGGTTTTGAAACCAACAATACCACCACCATTTTTGGGGTAGCCCTGCTCGATTTGGGTCAAACTTTCAAGCCACGTGTGTGAGACCTCAGAAAATACACCCAAGTAGATCCTAGAGAATACCCTTGGTTCGCTTCCAACAATGTTCAGTAAGGTAGACTTAAACCAGGTCCCCAGACTGCGGTCTGCTGCAAAGACCAAGCAACCCCGGGTTGTCCTTTCAAGGCCATAAGACGGCCCGGATACATAGAGTCATATGAGGGCACGTTCAAACTTGACGTCATACGAGGTAAAGCACTTTTTTCCTCGGCAACAAGCTGTGTGAGCGGCTTTAGTTGGACCGCGAAATTGAACCTAGGGTTGTCACCAAGGTCGGCTGGCGAGAACCAGGTTAAGTGGGCCTGTCTCAAATCAAACTACTCCCAAACATGGCGCTCTTGTTGGTTTTCGTTTGAACCAACAAGAGAAATAGGTCCTGGAGACCGTTTCATCACCAAGATGGCCTCAAACTGGGGTCCCCTTCTGGGAAATCAACCAACGGTTTGAGGCTTACCGGGTCAAAGCAAATGGAAGCCTGGCCGAACTGGGGACATGTCGCTCCGAACCTCCAAAGTTTTCTCCTCCACCTTTCTCCTGCGATTCGACCCAAGCCTTCGATGCGGTGTCTTTCCAAGAGGAGCCCCTGCACCATAAAAGCAAGGTGAACTACGAACTTCCCCGCTCTTGCTTAGCATCCGTGTCTTGTGGCATGGCAAGTCAATGCGCAATAATCTTTCGCGCAGGTTCAACTCATTGTTGATGTGCCTGATGCTTCAATGGGGGTTTGGAGCAAGTGAGCCCTTCTTGACAAATGCAAGGACCCCTGCAATATGTGTGCTCAATGGTGAACTTTATGACTGTCTACTCCCCAACCGTTTTTTCAGTCGAACAACATGTAGAACACCGCATTTATGGCGATTTGGTAGCAGGCGTTTCCTACAGAAATGCATGGGCAGCACACACCTTGAGGTTCGAAACAGCATGCATCGCTGTCGGTTTGTTGTCCAGTTCAACAACCAAAAGCAGAACTCAGTCCCGTGTCGCTGCGATCCGAGGAAAGGGCTTCCTTTGGCACATCAAGCAAACAGTACTCCAAAGAAACTCGCTCATGTCCTTGCGATTTCTGCCAACGTTGTCTTATCCTCTTCTCGGTGAAACGCCACCGTGTGCAATGAAATCTCAACTGACACAGGGGGCCAAGCACAGGGGGGTTGAATCCTGGACTCATGTGACCATGGCCTCCAGTAATCCACTTCTTCCTCGCCCAGGCCCTCTTCCACCTCCTCTAGACCTTAATTCGCCAAGCATGTCGGGTGAACTCAGTGGCCCAGTGGATGTGCAACCCACACAGCAACAAATGAACCGGTGGTCTAATTCCAATTCAGCGTCCAGAAGCCCAAACAAGATGCCTTACCGAGATGCCTTACCGATCTTTGGTTTCTATACCCTCTGCTTGGACCGAACAAAAACACTCATCCCTCCGGAAAACCTGTCCAACACGACCACGGCAACAATTACGCTCTGGCGCGAACGTCGTTTTACTTGGCTCAGCTGCAGCACCCGAACCCTCAAGCAACAACATCTTGTCAAGCTGGCGGGCCGGGCTTGGGCATGGCTTTGAACTTTCCACCTGCCCAAGTTTTCTAGCTGCAACTTCAGGTCGAAAAACACTTCTGCGAAGTCCATCTGAAAACCGCCCGACATGCCGGGAGAGGAACGGCTGTCGGACGCAGCCAGATTCAAGCGAGTCAACTTAGGGCAAATCCGCAAGTGACACATCCCTTTCCAAGTCGAGCTTGCGCTCCGCCCTGCCCCACCGGGGGGGGGGGGGTCGAGGGGTCAAGGGCCAACCGGAAAAAAACCATAAGTTCAGTATATTCGCACCTCGAGCCAAGCTGATGCACAGAAGACCTCCCGCAGCCCATCGATGCACCAAACCCAAAAAAGGGATCGCAAAGGGGTGCTCTGGTCCGGCATGGAGCGTGAGGTCACGATCCTCCAATGTGCATCAAGCCAAAGTGAGTGCCAAACAGGTGCCAGTGGATGCAGGCACACCCTAACAAAAGGGTAACTGGGAGAAACCACAATATGACAGTAGGGCTAAAAAGATCATTGTAATCAAGCGCCAAACAGGTTCAGCCTGTTCGACAGTAGAAACTTTGGCCACCGCAGTTTTCACATCAATAATGGTACCATGACCAACATGAGTCAACAATACAACTACACCCGCAATTGAGACAAACATTGCGTGAATCAGAATAACCGTGTTCAGTTTTCCGAACGGAGGTTTACTAAGTGTCATTCAGCATCCGCCATTCATACCAGTCTTCGTGTCTTGAGACAACCCCGCCGTACACCGTAGTTGATGCTCAGCCGTTCAAAGGGACATCCTTCCAACAAACAGCGGCAAAGGTAGTTGTGTCAGAATGGGAAACCCTAACATGGGTGGTTTCACTTAAAACAACAAGTTTTGGCTGTACCCCAACAAACTGACAGACAAACCCACAGGACCGGGGGTCGCACGTCGCCTGCAGCAGCTCAGCTCTTAGGGCGGCAACCTGGCACGAATGTTTCCGCCTGATGTGGGAAACTTGGCGGGGCAACTCACGTCCCCAAACTAACCGAACGTGTTGCAAGGGACTTAGCCTTCCAAGGGCCAGACAGCTTCTATGGGTTTCTATGGGTGAGAGGGTAAGGCAAGCGTCGGATTTCTAAACCAGCCATCAGAATGAACCGCCTGGCAAAAGGCAACGCTGGAGATCCTTGGGGTTCATGCGAACTGACTTCAGTGGCTGCACTCGGCCCAAAAAGGGCCTCTCCGACTCCGACTTCGCACGTGAGGCCTCCCATGACCAACTGTTGAAACTGAAATGCGGGCATTTGCACAGGGCAAGCAAACGAAACTCACATGATGAAACATGCCAATGTTCATGTCAACTTGGTTGAACCTGGTTGAAACTTTCTCTGAGGTCTAACAGCAAATTGCCACCTGGTCTTCACTCGCGGGTGTGATCTTCTCAGTGGGCTTCAGGAAATGAAGAAACTCACCCCACTTTGTAGGGATTCTCTCGTTTTCAGACAATATGTGTTGGGTATACAGGTCGTGTTTGTTGCCTTCCGTACTGGCCACGTAGGGCGTTTGACAGATTAAAGCATCGTCCGGCCCAATCTGGTTCCTTCAGGGGAATTCACACGTTGTGGCCGAGCTCGTCTCTTACCCAGATCTCGTTTGCACCTGGGCGTTTCGCAAAATAGAGGGCCCCCCTTTCACTAACTCAAAGGGAAACCAAAAGGAAACCGTTGCCATGGTCCACAACCCGGAAGAGTGGCCTTGGGGAACAAGGGCAACTTGTTTTGGTTGAATTTAAAAGTAAACCACTCAAACAAAGAGACACAAGGACATGTCAACCACTGGGTCTCTGGGACAACTCTTCGCAACACCCATTTGCGTTTCTCTCAAACCAAGGGGACTCTGAAAAAATGGGTTACCTGTTGTTCCCCTTTAAACCCACCCCAAAACAAAATTCTATTTATCCCGTCAAAACCGGCCGCCTTTTTTGAGGAACCCCCCTTCTTTTGCCCTTTGTTAGAGTGATACCAAAAGGAAAACCAACATTTTGGAGTGTCCCCTAAGAAAAAGCCGCGCACATGTGCCCCAGATCTTTTCTCATCTTCCGCCCGCATCGAATCACGAAAAGGGCCTTCACCTTGGACGCCTTCGCCGCGGACTCCGCCAGGCCTAAGCCTCAGCTGTAAATGGTCGTCCGAGTGAGGCCTTCATTTCTCCAGTCGGAAGGATTCGCGCCAACCAAGCGCAACACCTCCAATCCGTCATTGCCTCGTGCTTCTGCATTTCGACAGGATTTCAATTCACAGCAACACAATGAAAAAAAGCGACTCGTGTTGACAACCTCGCAGCTGGTTGTGGCTCAAAATGAGGTGAGCACTGATCTTGGAACCAATGTGCCAGTTGAAGCTTTGCCAATCTCCGAGCTACGTGTAATATATATATATGTATATAATATATATGTAACATATATATATATATAATGCATATATATACACAAATATATAGATTCTTCTTTTGAAAGGACAATTCGACGAAGGTTCTATCCTGGCGCCGAAAACGATGGAGCATGCCAGTGTAAATCACCCGACAAAAGCGACAAAACAACGCTCCCAAGCGAACAAACATGGCCGATTTTTCCCCTTGCCTTGGGTTCTGCCCTATCCCTTCTCCAGCCAGCCGATCGGAAAGCTTCGGCTCTGGGCCTCTGGGCTGTGCGCCAAAGTTTGGCTCCTGGCCGCGAGGTCCACCTCCTGGGCGCGCCCCAAAGCGCTGATGCGCTCCACCTCCTGGCGAGAGCGGAGCTTGGAGCTGTGCTCCCAAAGACGCATGGCTTCACCCGAAAATTTGGCGAACCGGGAATTTCGGACGTCTGGCACTGTCTTTGCCAGGGGTTGGGCCATCTGGTTCAACACGGTAACATCTCTTCCCTTGAAACGGGGACGGCGTCGACGTCAGGTGCCAGGTGCCTTGATGCGACTGCGCAGCTCCGCCGCTTGCAGCTCCATTGCCTGCGGACTCGACGGAATGGTTGGGTTCACTTCCGACAGCCATGTATAGAATGCACAAACCACTTTCTCATAGTACGATGTTTAAGCAACTGTTCATGCTGACCGGTTCTCAGTCGCATTTCTTGGCTTCTGAGGTCCATGGTCCACATGGGCAATTGATCATAACCTGGGCTATACATAGGCTGCACGCTAAAACCATCCTATTGGTAACCACTTACGTGGGGGGGAAGTTCATGTGTGTGTAACTAGGATCTTAGACCATTGGGGCATGCGTCTGTTGATGTACCGGTTTCTTGACAACGATGCCGTTCAGCCAGTTCCGTACATATATATATATATATACACATGATTATACTCAAGACCAAGCGGAAACAATCCATCACACTATTGACCATATGTTGAAGACAGTTCAACCTGCGCCCACCTGTTATCGTTGTTCTCGGACGTATGAAACATGAAAGGACTACATTAGTTCCGTCATTCCTTCCTTGTACTATCCCAGAATTCCCGGGCATAATCGAAGGTTCTGGTGCCAACCTGAAGACTGTACAGCGTGCTCATCCGACAGCGTGCTAAACGGCGCAAAACGGAACCCTATTAGCCCCTCATAGGCTTTATTAGTCCCTATTAGCCGTTGGGGGCCCCTATTCAGGGGACCCTTGACCATAGACCGCACAACAGCCACTCAGCTGCGCCAACCAGCGGGACGGGCCAAAGATCTCAAACGCGGAAATGCGGCGCTTAGCGTGGTAGCCAAATCAAAGAGTCTAACCAAGCACGACACATTGACAATTCTCTTGTGTACAAACACAGATGTACAAAGAAACGTGTGATGAATGCATAAAGTCACACACGCGCATACGAAGTAGCCCTTGCGCTCTGGAACCCCACGCGGCGACTCTTGATTCGCCTGCATTTCCGTGGCCTTGGTGTCCTGGCGCAGAAATGTCGGTCTAACCTGTGACCTCACCCAGTTTCGGCTTGACCGCTCCATGCAGACTGGAGCACTAAAACAACCAGACCCTTGGCTGAGATGGATATTTATGTATTTTGGCCAGAAATATATTTTAAAATTATATCACACATGTGTTGATAATATAAATGCTGCAACATAGTTCTTACAACACCGTACACTAATTGTGGCATATTTAAAATTAATCGTAGCTACATCCATGTCATGTTTTGCAAATAAAAATAACTTCATTTCCACTCCATTCCAATCAAATACAACAAGGTCCCTGGTATCTACCTCAACCTCCTGCTATCTGAATTGCCGAATACATGGAACACATGAGCCGTTGTGTCTCTTGCTTGCGTGAGTAAAGGCTGGGGGCCCTCAGTAGGCACTCCAGGAAAGAATTCTGAAACGACTATTTTTTTGGGCCTTGCGCCAATGGCTACCGATGGAAAAGAAGGCCAGACTTTGGCACCGCTGGCCTCGGCCCCAAGAACATCAAAAGGTGAGCACAGCGCAAGACTCCGGAGCATGACGTGGACATTGGCGCGACACAGTGGGATTCCCATCCCGACTACATGTTGAAGTGTGCTCCTTATCGGAGAAAATGGGATTCCTGAAGACTCATCTAGCATCATGAGGTCCCCCGAATGGTTGGTATCCCTTTGATGTTGTCCCCCCCGGACATTTCCCAGAATTGTCCTGACCGCTCGCCAGGTCTTTCCCTCCAGCTTGATCTCGTCGCAGCAAGATTTGCCCGCAACTCTTCCAGTAGTGTACCTGCCAAATGCGCCCTTCAGTTTCCGTGCCAGCTGTACCAGAAGCAGCCCATTTCAATATCGGACATCGGTTCGGTTCTCGACATTGCCCTGCGGTGGGTTGTTCCACCACTACAAGTTGTTTGCAACATTGCAACACCGCCAGCCACCAGTGAGCCATCCCAACCGATAATACTGTAGCAGTTTCTCAAGCTTCCTTGCATTGCCCAATGCCAGTCTCATGTGTATCATTGAGTGCAAGGAATGCAAAGTGTTGAGGGGATCTAACACGGGGCGGCCTTCCATACTCGCGGTGTCTGCTGACTTTGCGCTCCAACTCCCATCTGTACAAAGGAGCGTGCGGATTGAGCTGGCTCGTCAACTCAGTTGGCAAACAGGGGGTGACAGCAAATCAAACGGCCCATCCCTTGTCTCCTCAATTCAAAGCACATCAGCTAAGGATTCCTGAATATTCCTGATGTACTAAGTGAGGCTTGCAGGCTGCCCAAGAAGCACCGGGTCATCAAGCAATTCCTGTCAAGTTGCCTGCGTGCTTTGTGGATCATAGCGAGGAGATGAGCAGCACTGTGTTGGGTGCCGAAAGCAGCAGGCCACAAGAAGATACGATTCTCCCATGTGTGCAACAAGTTTTAACTAGCATGGCCGTGTCAAAAATAGGCACCTTGTAGGTGGCGAGCAAACTGATCAAACAGACCCCAGGCATTCTTTTCAAGCTTTACAAACCATCCGGTGACCTGGCTGCTGTTCATGCCCCAAACTTGCATTCTACACACAAACCCCCAGTTCAAAGATACGAATTTCTCCCTTTTGATTGTGAGCAGCGACTGGTGGTGTCCTGTGCATCGCCATGCTCGCCTCAGCTTCCAGGGTCTTCCTCTTCTTCTGCTCCACGCGCAAGTCCTGCTCCAAGCGCCGTTCTTTGCTCTGCAAGTCTTCCAGCCTAAGTCCAACTCGCTTCGCGGCCATTGGGGGAGTACTGGCGTACTGCAGGGCGTGCTCTGGACTGAAATGCCCATGCCTGTGACATGGTGTTGCCCAAGAACTGTCGGTTCAACAGGGTGCCGGTGAAGGGGTGTTCAAGGGCGTTGCCCAAACCCACGTTTGCGGCACGTAGATCTGCGCCGATGAGCCAAACCATTGAGTTCCACTCCAACAGGTCGACTCACGACTGGACTGGTGGGGGAATGAGGCGGTTTTGAGTCCCATGTGACTCCGTGTGCCGGCATGTGTGTGTGTGTGTTCATATGCACCTATCGATGTGGAAACCAGTGCGCCAACTTCACTTTCTTTTGTGACCCAGCAAAGAACGGACTTCTCTACGCGCACATCCAACCCACACGTACTCGCACAAAGCGCAAAGAACATCTTGGAAACGACCGTCTTGCTTGTCTCATTGGTACAGCTCAACACCCATGGCTGCTATGGCTCACCTGTTCCATGGGAAAATGGTCACCTGGACAGCAAATGAGGATTCCTGGAAACTAGAAAACGAATCAACTCTTGAGTGACGTCCATTAGGTTTAGCCCCATGGCAATGTGCATCATCATTGTCATCTGTTCTTGTCTACGTCCCAACTGCCGCGCTGGTGGTTCGGAAGTAAACGGTGCAAGCCCCAAACATGTTAACTTCCTGTGGACCCAAAGTATCAGTAGAAGCTGAACACTACTTCGGGAGGGCCACTTGACAAGTAGCTGGGTCCATGGTGTCCAATGCACCCAAGGCCAAGAATCAAAAGGTCGGCCGCCTATTCCCCATGCCACACGGATTGTCTCAAAAGGGAAACCCCAAAACTGCTTGGTGTGTTATGTCTTGTGTATTTCCCTGCCAACCAACCGGAGGAAACCCACGAAACCATGGCTCCCACAGGTATGCAAGCGAGGCGCCGCTTGTGCAGCTCCTGCTCCAGTTCTTGGACTGCCTCGCATGGCGCCAAGAGATTTTGAACCTGTTTTGCGACCTCATGGTCAAGGATGTCAAGGTTTCTTTCTTTGAGGCCCTTCTTGGAGATCGGTACAGTCTTACAACTCCAGAGTGAGGATGCGTTTGCCACTGTCAGCAACCAACAGCCAACAACCAGCAAACCACTGGCACCACTGGCGCCACTGGCACCACTGCCACCACCACCACCACCACCACCACCACCGCTACGCCAACCCGCCCAAGCAAGCAAAAAGACAAGCTGCCAAGCAGCCAAGCAAGCAAACTAACTTAATTACTCACCCACCCATACACCCATGCACCCACACCCATGAACAGGAACTCATTTTACCACTATTCTTGTTTGTCTGCTTCTTGAGTGAAAGGAAGGCAAAAACAAATCATGCAAATGTGTTTGACTTCCAAGAAGCACTCCGAACTCTGGCCTCCAACAACCTGAGTTGGCTAGTCAACAAGAGTTGCCTCTCGAAAAAACTCACATTCCATTCAGCACAATTCAGCACATTTCATCTACCCTGGTCTCGTAAACCCTTGCGCTTGACAGACCCACTCAGCCGCTCTTTTCGGCGAGCCAAACGGCACCGCCCATTTCGTAGGCTAACATGCGACTGGTTTCCCCTGCAAGCGGCAAACGAATTTCAGGAAACCGCAACGAGCACACCAACCAACGACCAGCAACCTTGGGAGGTGTCCCCGAGCGGTGGAATCCGGCTGCTGTCTCTTCTGGAGGCACCCACCGACAAAAGGTTGCTTTAAAAGGGGACACAACGCTCTGGAGTGAAGCCTGGCGCTGTTGCAATGCAGGTACATAACATGTGTATGCCTGTATGTCTTTGCGTATCTTGTGTATGTAGTGCTACATAGCTTGTACTTGTGCATGTCACCCATTGCTACTCACTCACTCTCTCACTCTCTCACTCTCTCACTCTCTCACTCTCTCACTCTCTCAATCACACTCACTGCGCAGCACCGCACCGCATGTCACCGCACCGCACCTCACTCACTCATTCACTCAGTCTGCAAAATGCAAAATACTTCCAAAACCTGAAAAAGAGGAGTTTTAAGTACAGGACTTTCACCCACAAATCGGTGAGCTCATCAAAACTGATGCAAACATTGTCCATACAGGCCCCGGTTCTCAAACGCCTGGCGCTCCCGCTTCGCTTCTTGCTTCCTGCGCTCCTGGAGGGCCTCCTGGATTTTGGGTGACGCCCAAGCCAATGCTGTTGAGCAGGGTTCATCTTTGACCCGTAGCATTCACTAACAATGATCCCCTTTGCAAGATTTTCCCTACCCAATCGCAAGCAACCAAGCGAGATTCGCCGAAAAGCCAAGGCTTCACCAAGGCTCGTGGACTTCAATGAGAAAGACAGGCTGGGAAGATATGCAGTTGATCCCTTGGTAGGCATCTGTTGCCTGATTTGCGCCCATATCGAGAGCCACTCATCATGAAAAACTTTTTCTTGGCCCAGTGAAGTTTTACCGGAAAAGTGTACCCTCAAGAAAACACCAAGCAGGTAACCGGTCATTTTCCTTTCAGCCTTTGATTACGGGGACATGGGATGTCTCAAAGCGGGTAATTTTCAAAATGTGGGCTTTCGCGGAAACCAACCTGAAAACCAGCTGCCCCTGATCTGATTTACGGGAAACCACCAGGAAGGCAAGAAATTCAGAGAAACTCCACCTCCCCGAATTTGGACCCACCCATCAACCCTTCCATCCGCCCGCCCGCCCGGTTTTGAAGCGGTTCGTCCTGCGCCTCTCCCAGTAATTCCCGGCGCCGAGCTTCAGCATCCTCCAGCTTTCGCTGCAGAATGGCACCTCACCGACGCAGCGATCCGCTGAATGGGTGGTTTCCTTTTGGCCTCCCTGCAGACCAACCTCTAAGAGTACAATCGACAAAATAATCACAAACTCACACACACACACAACGCTCACACACACACACAACACACACACACAACACACACAGACAGGCACACACGACAAACAACACACAAACAAAACACCCACCCACCCACCCACCCACCCACCCACCCACCCACCCACCCACCCACGCACGCACGCACGCACGCACGCACGCACGCGCGCCGGCACGCCCACGCCCACGCCCACGCCCCCACACCCCCACACCCCCACACCCCCACACCCCCACACCCCCACACCCCCACACCCCCACACCCCCACACCCGCACGCACGCACACACGCACACACGCACACTCGCACACGCACACGCACACGCACGCGCACGCGCACGCGCACGCGCACGCGCACGCGCACGCACACGCACACGCACGCACACGCACACGCACACGCACACGCACGCACACGCGCGCGCGCGCACGCGCACGCGCACGCGCACGCACACGCACACGCAGACGCACGCACGCAGCACACGCACACGCACACGCACACGCACACGCACACGCACACGCACACGCACACGCACACGCACACACACACACACACACACACACACACACACACACACACACACACACACACACACACCACACACGCACACGCACACACACCCACACACACACCCACACACACACACATGCACGCACACACACACACATACAGACACACACACACACACAGACACACAACACCCACGCACAAAACGCACACACACACACACGCACAAAACACACAAAACACATAAAACACACAAAACACGCAAGACACGCAAAACACGCAAAACACGCAAAACACGCAACACACACAACACACACAACACACACACACACAAAACACACAAAACATTCCCGGTGGGCGCGACTCCTCAAATCATAGGAAAAGGCATGCCTAAATCTAGAATGGAATGTTACACACGCACGCACACGCACTCACGCGAACGCGCACGCGCACGCGCACGCGCACGCGCAAGCGCGCACGCACGCACACACGCACACGCACACGCACACGCACACGCACCCGCGCACGCACGCACGCACGCACGCACGCACGCACGCACGCACGCACGCACCCACGCACACACACACACACCCACCCACCCACGCACGCACGCACAAACACAAACACAAACACAAACACAAACACACCAAACACACAAACACACCATGCACACCAAACATACAAACGCTAAGACACCAAACAAACAAACACACAAACACACACACACAAACACACAAACACAAACAATCATACAAACATAAACACAAACATCAACACAAGACAAAGACCAACACAAACACAAACCAAGTACACACACACACAGGACCACACTCGCATGCGCAGTTGGACTCCATTTCGGGGATTCATTTCGTGGTTCCTTGGGAGGTTCTGAAACACGGATCCCTGTCCCAACAAAGCTCGGCTTTCTTTTTGTTCCCGAAATTGATAGCCAAGCAACATATTGCACCATCTTCGGCTCCTTTTGGGTGTCTCAAAAAAAAAGAGGATCTCTTTTTGGGATAGTTTCGGAGGCAACCCGGCCTGTTTTCGGAGTCAATTTGGAGACAAACCCTTGCACGACTCTCGGGGTTGCTTACATAGGTCCTTGCGAACATCATCCTAGGGAAAGTCACCCATTGTTTAAACAACATCACTTCGGCCCATCTTGACGTTCAAAGGGGCGGCACATGGTCGTTCAAGCGGCAACAACCACGCGAAAAAACAACAACAATAACAACAAACCATGAGAAGAACCCGCGACCCACTCTTGCATGCGTCCCTTGCCTGGAAGAGTATGTTTTCTTCCTGCTAATATCCAACACATGTAAACTTGTTGTGTTTACATATCTGAATTGTGCTCTTAAAAAGGGCAAATGTCCAGCAGGTTGCGGAGTGAGCCAACCGGAGATTAGATAACGCTTGGGTCTGTCAAACACAAGTGGCTTCGCATGGCTTCGGCTTCCCCCAAGATGGTACCCTCAGAAAAGCGGAGCCACACCCGAACCCCCGCGTGTTGTGACGGAAAACGTGAGCCTTGGCGAATCCTCCGCAGCTCGCGCTGCTCCAGACTGCGCACCTTTGCCTGCGAACCATATTGCAGATCCAACTAGTTGCAACTGGCGGAAGCAGTTCTTATAGGTTCATTCCATTTTGAGCAGGTCCCAAACCTAAACAAGGGCTTCAAAGGTTCCTGAACAGGCTTCCTTGTGGCTGGCAAACCTGGGCTCGGGTGAATTTGCGGAGGCACCTGATACTGAGTCTTCCAAGAAACGGTCAGTTCTTTGTTTTGACAGCTGGTATACGGGAAACAATTGAAAGGAACCCCTTGGGGGAACCCAAACTTCGTCTGCATGCAGGCACCTGCAGCGTCTCCTCCTCCTCCTCCTCCTCCTCCTCCTCCTCCTCCTCCTCCATGACAAAGCCTAAGGTGGCCCTAAGACATGGCGAGCGGACAGGTGAATTCCTTGGAGCAACTGCTTGAATGCAAGTGCGTCATCCATTTCCTTGACTGCAAATTAGCTCGTCGCTTTTCGCCAGGTGACCATTGTGCAGAACCTTGAGACTGACCCGCGTCCATGGTAGGTGTCTGGAGTTTCTCGCCAATTTGCGGATGTATGCTGTATTCAATTTCAGAACCAAAGCTGCGGGCGCGGTATTTTAAGCTCTTTCGCCCTTCAGAAAATCAGAGAAGAGTAAGGCGGATTCAGCAAGCCAGGTCCCAATCAGACAAACATGACCAAAGTGGTGTTTCCTACAAAAGGGTGCCCCTCAAAGTGCTTGATTCCCTGCTTCCTTGTCAACACCAACCAGAACAGAATCCCCAACTGTGTAACACGGTCCAAATGCACCGTCAGAAAATTCACCGTCAGAAAATGCAGTAAGCGCACTCACCATGCCAGTGGCGACACAATAATGACTCATTGACCGCGGCTGATGTGCGTCGTCTAGCATGAGGCAGCCAACAACATCGCTTGCGTTTTATGGCCCTTTTCCAACAACTCAACAAGGGCTGTCAATCAAATAAGAATTGCCCAGTTTGTTGCCCCATGCTTTCTGTCTTGAGGGCAGTTCAACAGAACTGAGCGATGAGGGCCACTGGGTGCCAATCAACAACCAAACACATGATTAAAACACTCAACATGCCGCACACACACACACACACAAACACAAACAAAAAGACACACACACACACACACACGCACACACACACACACACACACACACACACACACACACACACACACACACACACACACACACACACACACACACACACACACACACACACACACACACACACACACACACACACACACACACACACACACACACACACACACACACACACACACACACACACACACACACACACACACACACACACACACACACACACACACACACACACACACACACACACACACACACACACACACACACACACACACACACACACACACACACACACACACACAAGCACTCACAAACATGTGCGCACGCACGCACAACCGCACAGGCAAACAACCACACATGCACACAAGCACGCATGCACGCACGCTCGGGCGCACTCACGCACACACACTCACGCACGCACGCAACACGCACAGACAATCAACAATAACAAGCAAACATAAACAAACAGACAAACAGACAAACAGACAGACATGGAAACAAGCAAGCAAGCCAGCCAGCCAGCCAGCCAGCAAGAAAACAAACCCAAGCAAAGACCAACACAAACACACACTCGCACACTCACACACATATTTCAGGACACACACACACACACATGCAGACGTGACTGTCGCGGACTCACAGATGTGTCCACACGTCTAAATGATACGTTTCGCTCCATGAGCATGCGGCAAAGATATGTCTGAAGTGAGCCATTTCGGCATATTTTGTTCTTGCCAGAAACGCTCATCGATTCACGCATCAATACGCAAGCAAGACACATTTGCTGCTAACAATGCAGAGCGTAACCCAACTAATCTAAGGGCTCTTCTCCTTTCCAGATTTCTGGGGGTTGCAGAACATCCGTCAGCTGCAATGTATTTGAGCTCTGCAAACTGCTTAGCCCAGATGGATAGGCCATTTTCCAGGCTCCGGCCGCACTCCGCCAGCTGTCACCCTGCCAGGCACGTCCCGAAATCCCAAAGACACATTTGAGGAGCCAAGTGAGCGGCCGAAGTCTGCAGTAGCCCATCCAAAAGATTGAGACACGCTTGAAATACTTCAGCATTTCTGCTTGGTATCGGCCTGTCCGGGAAGTTGGCCAAACAGAAACAAAGAGAGAAAAAGAGTGAGCCTGGCAACGTGTGCTTTCCCATGCAACCCACCGAAAAACTGGGTTGCAAGCGGTTTCCGCTCGGGATTTCCTTTCCAGAAACCCGTGCCGAAATTTGTCGCACGTCCGCGTCCCTCCCGCATCCCTCGCGCCTGCCAGCTGCCCACTCTTCCAGCTCCGCCCAGGGCGTCTTTTGCGGCTGCTCCTCGAGTCGGAACACACTGAAGGCACCCCAAAGCTTGCTGATTCTCAATGGGGAATCCACAGTAGGAAGGCCCTTGAACCATACCACACGGCTTCCTTGACGAGAACCAGCACGCAAACATCATCCCACAGTCACTCCCAGGCCAGAAGGTGATGCTTTGCACAGAGAAGGAAATGAAGAAGTTGCTCCAAGTAGATTAACCTGGCTCCCTTTAACTTGGACCCCCCGAGAAAAAAATCAAACAAGCAACGCATAGAAGAGCTCGTCACTGTGAGCCTGCGCTTAATCGCATTTTCAATGGAACGTCGAGTTGAACTCTGCTTGTAATGGTGCTTAAATGTGAACTGACTTGTATAGAAGTTCTATTGGAAAGATCATGCGCAAATTATGATTCAAAATAACTTAATTGATACACTAAAACACCGGTTCTGTCTGGATTCTGCACTTATCAATCGTAAAGTCCCATTCGGAAAGGAATGCTATCATGCTATCTAGATTCTGAATTTAAAATAAAATGTCCAGTAGGATTATCTAAATTCTAAATTTAGGAAATGTGTCCAGTAGTATTCGGACAAATATTTCTTTGGGTTGGTTTAGGGCTGACTTAGGGTATGGGTGGGCTTAGTGTTGGGTTTAAGATGGTTAAGGTTTCTTTGGAGTGGGTTTAGGAATGAAAGCAACGCGTGTGCCCCGTTGATCTAATTTTTGTGGGTCGAGGCTTAGCGTTCCAGGCACCTGCCACGCCAAACCTGGGGAACACACATCGGGGCCCTTAATTTCCTTTCCAACAGACTTTTTATAAGTCAACTCAGCCAACATTTAATGCTGTACCAAGGCTTGGATGTGAACTACACAAGTGCACTTGAACGCGGAAGCTCTTGCGCTCACACCTGACACGGGAAAGTGCACCAGATGCAAATACCCTGGAGAAAACCAATAGTTCAACGCCATGCCCCTGATCCTGGAACCACTCAACGGGTCAGAGCCTTGTTTTGTGTTTTGGGCTGTTTGGTTTTTCGAGAGTTGCATGTTTATCCAGACCCCATGTCCCAGATGCAGCCAAATGCAAATGCAAAACACACTTCAAGAGGGATCCCCGTTTGGATGACCCTTCTTGACCCTTATCGGGGTGTGTAGTTTGATAAACACGCTTCACACCAAAGGTTCTAGGCCCAACTGGGGTTTGACAGTGATCCATCATGCATACACCATGCAAAAGCAGTCAGCAAAACACGGTGGGAACACAGGATCTGCTTTCATCTTACCAACCGTGTTGATAAGCACGACCGCCACGGAGGTCAACAAGAAGGAACTGATGGCGAGGTTGTGTAAGTAATACTTGCATAGGTGGCCGTACATGCAAACATGTTTTGGTCAATTCCGACAGGAATAGCCACCAACTTGCCAAAGACAGGACTGCCACTGCCACCTTTCCAGCTTCCAGAGTCTGGACAGCCCCTCAAGAAAAAATAACTCCGGCCTTTGCACCCCAACTCTAAGTCTCCAAGGGTCTCCTTTCGCCCTGACTTGGGGCAGGCTGGCGCCAGTCAACCTCTCAGCCTGGGCCATGGTTTCTCCAAAGAACAACGAAAAACTGATCCGCTCCACGCTCTCAACCAAGACATGTGTGATGGTTTCAAAGGGCAGTGTAACTGAAAGGGGGCACCCTCCAAAACAAACAGTGGAAGAAAGGACATGTGAACCACTGGGTGTTCTTCTGCGTCAATGCCTCTAAAGGAGCAAACCGATCGCAACCGGCGTCTCGTCCTCATCCTCAATGTCCACAGGCAAACGACCTCGGCTTTTTCGCAAGGTGATCCACTTGAAGGTCTGTGGCTTCTCGTAAGCGTTTCCTGGTTCCCCTTTGAACCACCCAAAAGACACGCGTTCCCTAAGAAAGACGGCCATACTGATTGCCAGCTTCACTTGGCATGGGCTCTTTGTTTGGCCCCGCAACCTTCCACTTGGGAACATGAAGGTACGGTATAACGGCAACCAGTCGCATTGGACATGCTCGGCGCGGAGAAGAACTACCCGAGTTGTAAAACCTTATGTGTAGGTGTGATCGTTTAGGTAGATGTACGCGAGTGATGTACGTGAGTACTGCCATGTTTGCAAGGCTCGCACTATTTGATCACCACCTCATGCCTTTCAGTTGGGGCTTGTAAATGCCCATCAACCCACTAAAGGGCGATACACAATGATTTCCACAGTCTAAGGGCATCATGACATGTTTCTCCATGCGGGCATGACCAGATTGACCTTGGACCACCAAGCAAGCCCCTTTGAGTTTCACATCAAACGAGGGCTGTTACCATTTGCCGCTTGCCCATAGACTCGATGTGATCTAAATCTAGACTCCGCAGAAATCGGTCGATTGCATTCTGCTCATGCCTCAAAACTCATGCAAGCAAAGTAGAACTTGGATTGGGGTGCAAGTTTCCATAAGGGAGCCTTTGGTGGAGGCGCGGATGCATGTCCACCAGACACTCTTGAGGTACTTCCCAACTTTGAAAACGCCCATCGCCACACGCCTTTCGCCGCATCCTGGTGCCCATCTTTGGTCCGCACCCACGGTGAGTAGCAGCTTCTTGCGCCTTCGCTCCAAGCGGTTCCGGCCTAGGCTCCCAGAAAGGGAAGCTGTGGCTCGTCTTTCTGGCGGAGGGTACGCCGTTCAAAAAAAAGCACTCATTACCCATTTGTGGGGTGCCCTATGTCAAAACAAACTCGTTTTTGTCGGGGAGTCTGGACCTGGCACGACATGTCCTCTATGCTTTGCTTTAGTCGCCGAACGCTCAAAGATGATCGACTTGGAAATCATGGCCATTCACCAAAGAAATTGGCAACGGCCCTTGTGTGCCAGGACTGAACTTGTACGAAAGGGACACCTAGAGTCATTGGCGTCATAAAGAGGTACCCTCTCCTCCGTGTTAGTTGGCGGGAAGGTAACCGCTTGATATTTAGGTTTGTCAAAAACTGGTTGCCCGCCCAACAGGTTGTGTTTCTCACTTCCTGAGTAACTCTGAACATTGTATTTGCCACCAGAATGGTTCAAACCCAAAAAGTGACTGGGGTCCAGGAACTTAGCCCCAAACATCAAACAACTCCCCTTGAGGTTCCAGCACCAAACATCTAATTATTTGGAGCTAGGTCCTCCAGTAGAGAGGTTAGAATAAGGGTAACCTTCTTTCTGTAGTCTATTTTAGTAGGGGAACCCTCTCCCAAAAAAGGGTAAAAGGGCACTACTGGGGGACCTAGGGAGTGAGGTTTGCACCAACCCCCAAATTGACGAACCTCGTCTAAGGCTCCGGCCCAAGGTCGAGCAGAGTGCTTCCCAGGCCGGCCGGCCTGAGTCTCGCGTGTATCCTTCTGGACAAATGAGGTCTTGAAAACACCCGCCACAACCAAAAACACGAGAAGAACACAAACACAATCATGCGGAAGAGGTCAATCACTTCAAGTAATGGACCTCTCGACCTTTTTTTTAGATTGCCGCCTGTATGTTGTGCCACAGTATTTTCACCCGGAATCCTCGCGCGCATGCCTAATTTCACAGGAAAGACAATTAACACATCCCGAACGGAACATCCAGTATCCATACATAGGCCCACAAATCCAATTTGTTTGTCTGCATGAGAAAGTTCCAGAAAGCGGAAGGGAGGGTAACGATGGATCCAACGGTTCCTTTGGGACCATCCCCACTTTGACTCAGAGGGTTAGGCTTGGATCTGGGGCAGGGGTCGAGAGGTTCTTCCAAGAAATCCAAAAGCACATGCCCTTTTTCAGAGCGCACGACGCAACCAGAATTCAAGGATTGATTGGTTGTCCATGACTGCTTGAGCATCCCGGTATCCCTCTTCTGCCAAATGTCTTTTAGTTCCGTGCTGTGTGCTTGCCGCTTGTGCCATGGAGCTGAAAATTCTACAGGTTCAATGGCCTTTCAGACCCCGAGGTCAATTGAGAATCCTGAGTCCTTCTGCTTCGAGTGGCCTCCTTTGGTTGTTGATATTGGGTTCAGTGGCGTGGTCCAGCAAAACACCCAAGCCGTTTGGAGGTTCAATGAAAAACAGCCCATAGGTTTCAGGGGCAAGAGCCCAACAACCAAACATGGCTTGCTTGTCCATTGTCTGTTGCCGACCGCTAACTTGCCAAGCGTGGAAGAATGTACCCCCAGAGACAAAGGGTCTGTGCACTTGCACATCCTCGCCTGGGATGCTTTCCCCATGGTGGGCCAGGCTGAAGAGAAGAAGCTCCGCCTGCGATCTGCGCTTCCCTCTTTCCAATTTGAGTTTGGGGTTTGGGGCACCTCAAAAGAATTTGAGTTTTCCTTTTGTTCCTCTTTCCAACCACAAAGGGTACTCTCGGAAAAAGACATACCCATTTAGGAAACCTGCCATTGTCCTTCTGTATTGGTGTGATGCTGGAATGCAACCAGCCATCGCCCCTGTCTTGAAAGGGTTCGTTTGGGGATGGAAAGGAAGTGGACCAAACGGCGTGGAAGCACAATCATCTTAAAACAACCTGACCACTTCCATTTGACAAATTTTGCGCCACATTTGGTTGAGAATTCGAATAGGGGGTCCCAAAGCCCCCCTTCCAGAAGCGGCGACACGATGTGGGCTGTTGGATGCATGGGAGAGCTTGGCAGGCACCACGTCAATTCTGTGGGTGTATTCCTCAAGGACATCCGAGATTGCTCGGCAATGAGCCCCCGGATTTTGACAGGGGTCTCTTAAAGCAAACAAGATAACATCTTCGAGTCTGTGAGAGTCCGTTTCCTTGCATGAAGCCTCACTTGGGGTGCCCAAGAAAAAGGCTGTCTTTATCGCTGCTCCACACGTGCAAAGCTTGTGATCTTCATGCACTGTCCGCTGATGGGGGTCATAGCCTCAAAGGCACCCTGTGGACTGGGAGTAGAAGGGGGACTCATCTGCTCAAGACCGAAAGGCAGGCTGCCGGCTGCGGTGTGTCCAACTCTGGCTAATCCTGCAGCAACTGGCAAGCACATGAGTCAACTGCACCATTGGAAGTCCCACTGCTCAGGCCCGCCTCGCCACGCCTGGCATGCAGGCCAAAGCATTCAGTAGAGCTTGAGTTGCATTGATTCCGACTGTCCCAATCTGGGACACCGCGTGCTTGTTTTCTCTTTAAAAAGGGTCAATAGGGCACAACAAAGGCATCCACTTTTGGAGCTGGCGATGACTTGCTTTGGCTGGTCGACCTAACTCCTCCACAACGAGTGCGTCATTTGCTGTATACGACGCGCCAGTTTCTTGAAGTTTGACGTGAAGGTCAAGCTAAAGAGAAGGGAAGCTCCGTCAACACCCACAGACCCTCAGAACCGGCAGCATTGGCGTGTCTGCGGAATGCGCTTCCAGGGGAAGGGTCAGCAAGAAATGTTCGAGCGCGCGCATCATGGAACCTTCAGCTCACTTGGCCAAACGACCTACAAACCAACCAGGTTAAGCCTTTGGCAGATTGACTAAAATCAGATCAACATAGGGAATGTTTAACCAAGCTACATAAAGCTCGAAACTTGGCTTGAGACCAAGCAAGGCTCGTTCTCTTCTAATTGTAGGGTCTGTGAGAGAAACAAAGGAACGCACGTTCCATGAGGACACCGCTTCAAGCAGCTGGAACACATACTATGGATTACTATGGCCAACACGTGCAACCTGGACAAAGACGTTCATTGATACTTTTTGGACCAAATGCGCCATTTTGACTTGAACCACGCGTCAAATGAAGCACCGCAAGTACCACAGAGCGCCCAACAGTTTCCCTGGCATGACGATAATGTGATCGCATCATGCAACTGTGCACCAGGGCATCGGTTCGACGCACATCAAACAACGGTAGCCTTGCGACGGCCTGCCATATCAGGACAAAACTGCAATCATTCAGATGCTTTGATCAGTTGCTCGGGTTTCTCAGGGAAGAACTAAATGCAGCTTGGACAGCCCTGATCATGCATCAGCAGCAGTCGAATGGTCGGGTGTTCCTGCCCTTTGAACTCATTGACCTTGTTTTCCAACACCACACCAGACTTGACTGCAGTCTTCCGAAATAAAAAGAAGTTGTTCAGTGAGAACAAGTTATCAGCAACATGTTTAAGCATGTCCTTTGGCAAAGTATTGAAGTCCAAGGCCATTGGCGCAGCTTGCCTAAAAACTGAGCACATGCAAAGGCGGCAAGCTTTGCCAGTCATGGATCCCATGAGGGTGAATCTCTACAATATAGACAACTATTTAACATACGTGCGTGACATGTCTGAATCCTATTCTCAATTGCAGGGGGCGAAAGGGAAAGGGAGGCTCCCAGTTTTGGGTGGACTCCTGGCAAATCTTCAAATTATCGTTTTGCCTTGGGTGGAAGATAACACCATCGAACCGTCACAAACACTTCTGAACATGAAAAGACACACTGTCATCTCCAGTCAGCAGTTGTCATTGGCTTTCTCAGCCCAAAGGAACATGACATAAACAGTTTCATGGTCGATTCGCTTTGGGCAACTGAGCCTTCCTTACAAAACCGTATCTCTTTTTGAAGGGTGCCCTTTTGATTATGCTTTTAAAGGGGAAACCAACAAGGAAAAACCACCATTTCGGGGAGTCCCCGAAAAAAGCCCCACCGACCTACCCTCCAAAGAGCCGTCACCCATCCGGCCTCGACGCGGCCGCCAGCACAGTGGCCCAGGTCTGCGCCGCGCACCTGTGGCCTGGCCGCTTTTGGTGTGTTTAAAGGGAAGCCGAAGGGAAAACCAGGGAAGAAAACCACCGTTTTAGAGGAGTGATCTATTTTGACGCAGCACAAGGGAGAGGGAACTGAGTTCGGACCATCTGCAGAGACATAGATTGTGCTTAGAATCTACCTTTTGCTGCTGAGGTGTGGGAGCCGTGGACATTTGAGACGATTTGGCGGACTCTAACCGTAGCGCGATGTCCCAAAGAATGTGGCTGCAAAATAGACTGCAAGTGTCCATCATAGGGTGTGACATTGGCTATGAATTTCAATGCTTGGAACACTCTCCAAAATGGTCCGATGCAATTACCCAGGTATGTTCAACCAAGACAAAATGCGAAGGCGAGAAAACGGCCGACCTCTGGAACCAGAGGCGTCTGTTGAGACAGGGCCTTGGACCTCGAGTCAAACACGGTGAGCACTTGTCAGGGTTGCTCAAAGGGAAACTCGGGTGGCCCCGCGATTTCCGTAGAGAAACTGGAGGCTTTGTGGGTTTTCGCTTCCATCTGCAATTCCTCGTGCCATGTTGGGCTTGCAACATCCCAGTCCATTTTGGAGGCGGCTGCGATGATTTTCCAGATATTTGTGCAGATTCGGTCCCGAAAAAACGCTTCGTAAAAAACTGTGGTTCTCCTTTTGGTTTTCCATTCAAACCGCCAAACCAGGGATGCCGGCAAAGACACAACCAAGTGACAAATCCCAAACATACATTGTGAGAACAGTATCATGCATCCCGCTAGATGCTCCGATTTGCCAGCGAGGGTACAGAGCCCGAGAACAAGTTACACTGCTGCAGCTGTTGTTGACGGGCACACACATTCCGAAAACAAGTTCAACAACAGAAATGCCGGGTCACACATGGGTTAGTCTCAGAATAGGGGTGTACATTCAAGGCTTCCCCTAAAACCAACCACACCCACATGCAACAAATGCTAGCTAGCAGCCAGGGATTGGCGTTGCCGACCCCTGCTCGAAGAATTGTGCAGCCACGGTTTGAACATCCGAAGCCTCTGTTTGGCTCCGTAAAGGGGGGCCATGGTCTGATTCCTGAAATGCCTGGCGGGTCCAACACAACATCTGCAGTGTGCAGGCCCTGGAAGCAGAACATTGCCTGCTTTGTACATCTTGCTGATGGTGGACACTGCCAGAACGATCCTGCGACATAAAACCAACGATCTGCATGAAAGGGGAATCCATTGCGACCAAACACGTGCATGTGGTAATATTTGGCAACAAACCGATGATGTGGTCAGCAGCATAGAAGGCCAATGGAACAGGTCGCTTTTGCTGCGTCAGCCTTTGTGCTGACTTCCTGATCGACCGCGAAATGAGCACCACCCCTGTGAAGACATCTGTGCAAGCTGGCAATAGGATTGCATGTTTTCGCAAGTGTAGCTGCTGAGCACGACACTCGTTTTTCAACCTCTAGCTTGAACTTGTATTTTGGGCCCGGCCACCAAAATTGCAGTCCGGGTGAACAACAGGGTGTCTAGAAAAGAAACAATGTGGCTTCCTGGACTCCGACATGAGGGCTCTTCATCACCCAGCAAACACAAGCTCAAATGTGCAATCGAAGCGGTGGCGGGTCGATGGCTGCTTGCAGGTTGAGCTACATTTCCAGTGCAACCGGACAAAAGCTTGAAGGCCGACTCAGCTCATGAGGTGCTCTTTTGGTCGGCTGGTCGACTCAAAAGGGCTCATGGGTGGTCGCCTTGTGGTGTCCCTTCAAACCCAAAGGGCGCGCTCTCTACCGTTTGGGCCCGACCCCATGTGTGTTCTGTGCAAAGGGCAATGCGTCTCGGGCGAAGCCCCGGTCTTGGTAATTTCCGGGGATCCCATTTGAGAACACTTGCGTAAACCGTGGGACAAGGGGAGAAACTGAGCGAAAGGAAGCCAAATCAATGAATTTCCTCTTTTCATGACCCCAGATTCCATCTTGACTAATGGGGTGTCCTCTAAGTGATTTCGGAATTGTCGGATCTCTAAACAGGGACCCCCCCTAGTTGAAGCGTCACCTTGGGCGGCACCAAGTTCCCTTAGAGAAAACGTTGCTTTTTGACACCCTCAATAGGTTCAACCATTTGGGTATATGTGTGTCACAATGCTTCTCTGATCTTTGGACCTCCAAAACGGGGTGTCCAAGCATCCTCAACAAAAACACACGCACAAACACAAACACGAAAACACCAACACAAACACAACCACAACCACCAACACGAACACCAGCATTCCAACATTTGCTACGGCACACAAACTTCACCATTCGGTATGTCCTGCCGCTGGCAGCCCAAGCCTTTGCCAGGTTCGAGAAGGCCCGGACCTGGCGATACATGCCTCGTATGGTGCCCTTTCGGGTTGGTTGGTTTCTTTCCTAAAGGGGGCCTTTTCAGGTTTGTTGTTTGGTTGTTTGGTGGTTTGGTTGTTTGGTTGGTTGGTTTGCGGGTGGGTGCGTGGGTGGGTGGGTGGGTTGGTTGGTTGGTCGGTGGGTTGGCTGGGTGTGGTTGGTTTGGTTTGGCTTGGGTTGGTGGTTGGTTGGCTGATATTTGGCTGGTTGGCTGGCTGCTTTTTGTTGCTTGTCCTGTTTTCAGGACACCCGCTTTGCCCTCTTTCGGGTTGATTTAAAGGGAGACCAAAAGGAAGCCAACTACGTGGTGGGTTTCCCCTTGGAGACAAGCCCATGACCCTCAAGGGTCGGGGATTAGTTCCCCCTCTCGCACCCGAATCATCACCAAAGCGATCTACGAGTCATAGCGACTCAGATGTTGAGTCATTCCCCATCCAGCAAACCCAACATAGCCAACCTTGCGGGATTCCGAATGGACCGAAAGTTGGAAAGCCAGGCGAGTCGGCGGTTGGTAGCAAACGACCCGTTTGAACAAAACCTAAGCCGAAGAACACGACCCTTGTTTCGGCCCGAAGACGAAAAGCCGTTCGCAATTGAATGCATATGGGTCTAAATTCGAAGGAATGCTGAAGGATTCTTCTTCGTGGACGGGGTCGTTTCGTGACACTTTACGAATCTGCTATCCGCTGGTACTCGCCGGGTTGCTTCGCACCAGTGCAATCGCGCAAAGTATGAAACATAAATTCAGTTAACTTACTCCATCCCAGGCTCCCCAGCAATTTGTGTTGCCAAAAGGAGATAACACTTGTCAAGCATCATGTCCGCCTAAAAACCACTGAGACAAATAAACAATCATTTGGCGCTCTTGCAGATATCTCGACGCGAGTGAATCAGGCCTTACGTCAGGGAAACCGCTCGAACTAGATCCCAAAGCACGCGTCAGCGATCATTTCGGCCCTCAAGTCTCGCAGGTGCAAGGGCCAACTCTTGTCTCTTTTTGCAATGATTTTGGAGGTTGTGCAGATCCGGCATTTCTTGGATAGCCTTTGTCTAGCCTTCGGGGTCCCAGGAATCCAGTTTTGACTGGGAATCTGCTCGCAGGCACCGCGGAATGTCTCTTTCCGCGCCTTCACTGCCAGCCCTTCCTCTTCCATAATCCTCACGACTTCGGCCTTGCGCGGAGCAAAGGTTTTGGAAACAAATTCTTGGTCTCGATCCTAAGACTGGTCCTAAACCGCCCCCAGTTTTGGAATACCTTCTCCCCAAGGAGCTGTGCCTGGGGGTGGGTTTGGGGAGTCCAGGAAAGGGCTCGAAAGCAAACTAAACGACGACATCCTGTTAAGCCAATTGAAGATGAGTAAATACCGGTCGCCAAGTTTTGATTGCCTTTTGCGTCATGTGCAATGCAGCTGACGTCCAAATCAACTGATCGAACACTCCCTTGAGTCTATGTTAATTCCTCAAGCTCGTTAACACTGCCCCTTTGATTGGACACGAACCTGGTAGTGGATTGCCCCCCCAAACAAAAAACAAGAACGAGGCACACCCAAAAGAAGAGACACTTGTATGAATCTCTCTTACAAGTAACCATGACGTGCACCTTCCGCAGGGAATCCTCGGCACCGAACTGGAGCGACTAAGGATGCCCTATTTGTGGAGTTTCATGTCAATCTTCGCAGGTTAGGTCCCACTGAGAATTGGGGGAGCCCCCGAAAACCATTTTGTGCCTTGGTTGTCCTTGAGCAACAACCCCAGAAGTCCAAAACAGCACCCGTTTTTTTTTTTCAACAATACTGGAAGCGGACGGTTTGGGCCTTTCCAAGAAAATTGCAGTCTTTCCGAACCCTATCGACTTGGGTGCTTCTCAAAAAGGGTCCGTGTTCCATGGTTGATGTCCATTTTTCCGAAAGCATTGCAAAGAGTTCCGGTAAAATGGCCAGCCTTGTTCTCGCACAGCCAAACATCACACAGAGATTGAAACGAGCGCGCGCAAAGCAACAAGCACGAAATCACTCGAATCGCATTGCACGAGAGAACGTGCGCAGGAAGTTGCGCGAGAGATCTCGCGCAGCAAATTGCACGCGAGCGAACCGCAAGGTATCTTGCATGAGTTTCTGGTTGGAACCGAAACTAAATTCAACCTTTTAAGGCGGCGGTGGAGCCAAACCACTCTGCAAAAGCATGGTCGAGACTCACAAACTGGGGATTTGTGAAACTTCCTAATTTCATGCGGCCCGTGGAAATCGGCGTAGTTGATGAGCAACTACTTGTGGTTGGAAGCTGGTCTTAGGAACTTCTCTCGTGGTTGGCGCGCTTCTGCCATTCTGTATCGCACGAGCTGCGCCTCTTGCTCAGCTGCAGGGATTCACTTCAGTTTGCAAACTACTTCTGTATCGCGAAGTCGTCGATACTGCCTTTTCAAGCTAAAACTGCGGGATCACGCTTCATGTGCGACTTTGGTGCTGAAATGTGCTGAAAAATTGCGATGTTGAGCTGGAGCTGCGGCAGCGCGCTTCGCATACCATTTATACTTCTTGTGTAGTTGGGAGACCGCTGGCAGACAAGCACTCAAGACGTAGTGCCCGAAGTGCGCTCCCGCTGGAAGTGACATTCCATTTCGTCCACGAAAACAAAAACACGTTTGACGTCGCATGCCTCCAATGTTTTCGGGCCACCCATTCTAGTGGTTTCCCGCTAAACCCTTATTTGTGGGTCCACCATTTTCAGAAACTCTCACTTCCATTGGAACTAGCTGGTTGCTGGGCGTTCGATCAGACCGGGCTTCGGGCTGCTTTGGCCGCTTGTCCAACTGGGCGCCGACGGAACACACCCCACACCCCCACCGAGACCCACCAGAGTTCCGTTCTGGATTCACGCAAAGAGTCAAGTAATTTCACACATTGTGCAATTTGGTCTAATTGTAATTACACCCGCCTAGTTTTTGAATTTCAGGCCCTTATAGTATCCCGAGCTAGCTTTAACCCCAAGGGAGTGGTGTTGCTCAAAGGGTTGTATGCCTTCCTGGAATCAAAAGGGGAGCCATGCCGAGTACACCCCCTCCCAACATGAAAGCTGACAGGTCCTTTTAAGAACATGGGCTCAGGACCTTACTTACCTCAGTCGCGAATTGCACTCCAAGCACCATGAACCCCGCGCTCTATGGATGTCAGGTTTGTCCTCCGTGCCTTTAGTCACCGGTGGCCAAATGACATCTCTACAAAGAAAATCAGGGGATGGGCCAAATTACAAGGCAAGGGAACAAAGCCCTCCACTGGTGCCGGTTTTCTACACATCCCGTCAAGCCCACAGGTCTAGATCTATGCTCAGATTGCTGATGGCGAACTTGCGAACTTGGCAGCTTCTTGGGGAATAGATGAATCACTCAAGTTCCCCAAAAACCCTGGTAGAAAAAGAGTTCCAGTTTTGGGTATATCCATGATGTGCGTTCGAATACTTTGGCTGGATCTGGGAAATGTTACTTGATCCAAAGTGGCAGAAAATCAGGTACAACCAAAATTGCCCTCACTGTTCTGGGTACTCTGCCTGCATCATCGATCAACACCAAGAATCCTGACGGCGATGAAGTCCCTCAACATGGATGATCCAGTCCGCAACATCAAACAGCTATTTCTAGGGACCGGCCCCTGCTGTTTTTGCTTGACTTTTTTGGGGAACCACACATGTAAAACTGATTGACAAAGTAGGCCTTGAAAGTTAGCTCTCAAAATGGCTTGAACATGTAACAGCTCCCCATTGGCCTCAGAAGCGCGGCCCGTTCACCGAGGCCCTTTTAGTGCTCACGTCGAATTTGGTAAGTCTTCCAGATTGGTTCGCAGGCGACTCCCTATTTAGCGTGAGGATGACATATCTTGCATGGGGGATCATTTCGTTTGTTGAGGTCCTCTGGATCAATCCGTGTTGACATGGGCCCGGGGCAGAATAGTGCATGCAATGTGCAAATCAGTTTCAAGAGCAAGCTGACCTTTAGCTACGTCCACTGGCCCTCCCACGGCAGGGAAGGATGCAAACCGATCCAAGTTTCCCGGGTTTTGATCTTGGCTGTGTCACAAACCCGTCGCCGGCAACACTCACATCACAAATCACGAATCACAAACGAAGGTGTTGCAATCGGAGAAAGCGAATCATGAATCACAAAGCAGGAATCACAAAACGCAAACGAAGGTGTTGCAGTCGGGGAATCACAAATCACAAATCACAAATAACGAGGCGGTTCTTTCCCGCTTCGAATCGTGACCCCTCCCCTATCACCCTTCCACGCCCCACCGACCCACCCCTGCCCTTACCCTTACCACCTCCACCGTTGCCACCCCTATCGCTACGCTAAGCGCCCCCCACCCTTCCCACCTTGGGCAACCCTTATCCACAGCCCTGACTTCCGCCTGCGGCGTAGCTGCACACCGCCGCTGAGGCGTCCGCGCCGGTGCAATGGCTCCGGCGCCAGACCCGCCTGCCGGTTGCGGACTCACAAAACTGCCCAAGCGGGGCCTCTTAAGGACAGTCCCTGCAATGCGTGTTTTGCTGTGTAATGGTGGCCCAGAGGGGCTGTTCAAGGAGAATTCTCACGGAGTTATTTTTTCAGGGGGTAGAAACACTTTCTCAAACATCAAACCTTTCTGCGGTTCTTTTCGTTTTTCCGGTTTCCTGGAACCAAGCTTCCCTTGCACGTAGAATTACATTACCAATAGCGACACTTTTAGGAAGGCCATCATCTTCGAAAGGACTCCGCTTCCCATTGGAGGCTTCCGAAGGGCTCTCCAACGCGACTCATAAAATTGAGGCGTGCAGGTTCCCCGTTCTCTCACACGACAGGGCCCTCGGATTCCCGAAGGTCTCCAGAGAAAGCTGCTCTAACCCGGGGTGCCCTGAAAACAAGGCACACGCCTAGCCTTGCTTTGAGGTCAAAACGAGAAGAAACAAAACTGCACTCACCATTTGTGGTGTCCTGCTGGGCGACATAGTTGCCGCAGCGATGCCCGGAACAAACACTTCTGAAACAACGCATGGAGCAAACGATCACACGAAACAAGGCCAAAACACTCTTCAGTAGGCTATAAAACAAACGTGGCGCGATGGAACACTTTCTTTGGGCTCAGAATGGGTGTCAGCCACACATGGCGGTTCAAATCTAGGTTTCAAGCCTCCAATTTCCACCAGTTTGATGGCTTGTTTCCTTTTAACAGGGACCAAATCCGACTGACTCTTCCCGCTTCACTGGGGCATGGTCACAAGTTGCCTTTGTCAAGTCGAACCGGAATAAAATCATTGTTCAGCTTAAAAAAAGAAGAAAAGGCACAACGGCCCCGATTTTGCCGATACTTTTGAATAAGATCAATTATTGACTACTGAAACCTCCCGTTTTCTGGCACCGTTTCTGGCACCCATAAGCTGCACATCAGAAAACCGCTGCCCCAAAAGACCTTGAGCAACCCCCAAGGAGACAAATGAGCAGGGAAATGAACAACGGGACGCGCCACAGCAAACAAATTACTTCGCTTCGAGCAATCCCCACCCTCCACACTCACGAGCTTACGGCCGTTACAACAAATTCCTCCGCATCCTAGAGACTTCGACTCCAAACTCCAATCGGCCCTAAGCCAGACTGGCAAGCTGCTCTGGCGGGATACTGGCGGGATCCACTGCCGAATGCTGGCAAGCCGCTCCAGCTCGATACTGGCCGGATACGCGGCAGGATCCGCCGGAAATGGATACTCATGAGATACTTGGCGGGATCCGCTGGCGAGCTACTCTGGGATACTCAGCGGGATACTCGGCGGGATCCACTGGCGGGCTGCTCTGGTGGGACACTCGGCGGGATTGGCGGGATACTCGGCGGGATACTCGGCGGGATCCACAGGCGGGCTGCGTTGGTGGGATACTCGGCGGGATCCACTGGCCAGCTGCTCTGGCGGGATACTCGGCGGGATCCACTGGCGAGCTGCTCTGGTGGGATACTCGGCGGGATCCACTGGCGAGCCGCTCTGGCGGGATGCTGGGCGGGATCCACTGGCGGGATATTTGGCGGGATCCACTGTCGAGCAGCTCTGGCGGGATACTGGGCGGGATCCACTGGCGAGCTGCTCTGGCGGGATACTCGGCGGGATCCAAAGGCGAGCTGATCTGGCGGGATACTCGGCGGGATCCACTGGCGAGCTGCTCTGGCGGGATACTGGGCGGGGGCGTGGTGTAGAAGCATCGCAAACGCGGATTCAAACATAAAATCTAACAACCCCTTCCTGTCGGGTGGGGAACAAACAAACAAACAAACAAACAAAGAAAACAAACAAACAAACAAGCAAGCAAGCAAGCAAGCAAACAAACAAAACCAACACACAAGCAAACAAGCAAGCAAGCAAGCAAGCAAGCAAGCAAGCAAACAAACAAACAAACAAACACATTTTCAAGTGGCTCCCTGTGGCCAATGTGCTGGACGCTGAATATGGGGGTTTAAACAAATCAATCGAATAGCCGTCCCCTTTTCAATTAGCAATGGGACATTTTGAACCCACAAGCGCAGCAATGGTGGGATATACACCCGTCTGAGTGCGCCGCTCAAACCACTTCAGGGCCAGCTGATGCTCGCCTGCCGATGAACAAACCTGTGGATCAAACCTTGCCTTGGCTGACGTAGCAATGGGCTGAAGGGCCTAGGGACCTCGACCCAGGTTGATTCCAGAAGCCCAGTGAGCAGTGGCAACAAAATGGCTCGAGTCAGGGCAACTGGCAAATATCGACTGAAGGACATGGGCGCGCCTCAAAACAAGGGAAGCCCTCAGAACCGGCGTTTCCCTTTTGCCCCTTTTGAACAAACCCAAAACCATCAAACAAGTGTTACACGCAAAAAGCGATACATGGGGACAACCCAACTTCTCCATAAACACGCCGGGGTAGAGGGGTGGAGTGAAGGGGGGGCAGCTTCTTACATGCATAGGTGGTCACTTCAACTTTCAGTTTTAGGGTCCACAGTTTTTGCGATTGGTTTGTACAGTTGGGGGAACAAGGATTTGGGCACTGAGTTATCTAAATTCTTACATTGCATGCATTACCTATTTGCCCAAACAGCTTGCGTGATCTCTCAAGAGGTGGAAATGAAGCATTTGCCTTCTTCACTTCAGTCTGACACAATATAACACGTATTTGGCTTCAGGTCTAGCTAAGAATTGCTTCAAGTATCATGCCAATCAAAGGAGATCAACATCACCCGCGACTGGCAGCGACAAACAAGACACTCCTGCTGTAGACAATCGGATTCTGTAATCGTGGGGTACTTGGCCATGAAAGCTTTTTGTCCTCATCTTATCAGGATTTGCGGGTGTAAATGACCTCGAGACGATGGTCCAAACCATAACATTGCCTCTGAGTCGAATGCGCGAATCACGCTGCTGCACAGAGCGCGGTGACCGTTTTCCTCACTGCTTTTGGTTTTGGCTCGAGACCGCTGCTCGAAGCTGGAATGGGCATCGAGGACATTTCGTATCAAACGCTCGTGGCACGTCGTTCAAGGCCCAAGGCTCCAAAGGGACTCGGAGGTTGTCCCGGTTAAAAAAACAGAGAGACCTCATGCCTGGGCCAGATTCCAGAAACGGACAAATGCATTTGGCTCAAAATCCATGCGATCACATCTTTTTCATTTGGTCCCCTTTATTATTGGCCAAAAGGGGGTTCCCTCAGGAAAGACTCATCCATATTGGTTTCTCTGATCGTTGTTCACATGGCCCCTGATCTCAGTCGAAGCGCTCCCGTGCTTGGCACGCCAGCCTGGTAATGAACCCATGCAACCTTTCGGCGTACTCTGGATGCAAAATATGTCTCCAAGAATCAGCAGAAAAAAGGGAGGACATGGCAACCACTGGGTCTCTACAGTAGGAATTGGAGATTTGCAGCCAAGTCTGGCCGAAGGCAACTGGGGTAAGTTGCATTGGCGCGAAATGAGCCGACACGGGGCTTGGACACTCGGGTTCGCTAACAAAGGCCAGCCTTCCAACGTGTCAAATAATGTTGACAGTCTATGGGGGGTTAAAGTCAGAATCTGGGTGTGTTTCCCTTTTGGCTTCGACAATGGTAAGACTAGGACCAGTCACATGTGTGCCTTGTTGAGGGGAACATGATTGGGGTTGTTAGAAAGGGAATCCAACAAAAGCGCATCACCCTTTTTGGGGGGTTCCCCTATTTGTTGACATACCCAATCAGCTACCCACTCAGAATAAAGCCATGACAAACCCGCTCTGTTCACAGGACCCGTGCGAGCCACTTGCTCTTGGTAGTTGCCGCATCACATCCTGTTTGTTGCAACTAGGTCCTTTGGTCCCCCCCCCAAAAAAAACAATGAACCCTTGAATGAGTTTGCGTTTCCGCACCTGTCTCGTTCCAATCCTGGGGAAAGCAAAGCTGAAATGTTTGGACCCCCTTTAAAGTAGTGCTCTAGGGGCCAAATATTTTGCAAGTTCATGGGAGATGTCACCGCATCTGCAAGTAACCCGTTTGCCCTTCGCCGGTCACCGCCGGAAATGCTCCGTGGTTGTTTTCAGGCGAACGCTTTGCGTGGCCAGCGCTTCATCATGGGTGTGTCTTTTTTAGTGGGCCCCCCAAATGATGGTTTCCCCTTTGGTTTGTCTTTAATTTTGCAAAATATATCCACACATGGGGTAACCTCAAAGAAGACACACCCACATCTGCTTGCGGAGTCTGAGCACAATGCAAAACGGATACGGCTGTGGGCATAGACTGGTTTAGGCAACCTTCCGCAAACCCAAACGCCTGCGACAAACACGGGCCAACCCAATCATTTGCAAATGCGTGCGAAGGCACATGAGCCAAAGCTGGTGTTCTGCGCCAAAGAAAGTTCTAGAAAAACCGTTTGTGAACCCCAGGCTAAGCCAATGTTGGCCACCACTCTGCATGGACTAATAACAGGCCATGCAGATTTCCCCCATCTGGTTTTTGCTCTCCCTGCACTGATGAAAAAATCCGCTCCGTGGTTTTATGAGTGGGTCTCTTTGGGAGTTCTGACCCAAATTTGGGGGTCGGCCGAAAAACAACCATGAAGATGCATCAATGAATCAGTGTTTCTTTTAACATGATCGCCCAAGACTCCATGAAAAATGAAGGGCTGTCTTTCACACCCTTGAAGCATCACGCCCACGCCAATCACAAACACACAGAAGGGAGAAAACCAAATGACCAAACTGGAGGTGTGCTTGGGGTTGGGTGGGGGTGGGGGGGGGTTTGCGTAGATCGAGGGGGGGAGGGGGAAGGAACAGTTTTCATTGCCTGACTTACCTCAACGTTTGACTTTCTGGTTTTCCTCCGTTTTCCTTTACCAGCAAACACAAACGAAAACTCAGCTTGTTGTCCTGAAGTCCCTGTTTTGCTGTCAAGAAGATCTTGTCCACATTGCCTCGAATTCGAATCCGGCTTGGCTTGGCCAATGCCTTGGGATCGGGATGCGATAAGCTGCCAGCCGGGAGTTGACCCGATCCTCTTGGAACAGCGGGCTCCGACCCAGTCTGAGCGAACCAACCACAAACTGGAAGCCTTGTTTTCGCTCACAGCGACTTTAACGACGCGGAATAATTCTTCATTTTTTCCTGTTTCTCATGCCTTCAAGAAACCAACTTGCGGGCGCTGCTGCGCAACAACCAGTGCTGGTGGGGGGAGGGCTGGGTGGGCGGGTGGGGGGGGCTTCTCGCCGCGAGTCTGTGTTAAGGGGGGGGGGTGGGGTGAGGTGGGGGGGTGTCAGAGTGTTCGTAGCACGCTTGACTTCGAGTTATATTTTCTGCCAGTGGCATGTTGCGTTTACCGCAAGCCGCGGAGAAGGTGCGCGCGTCGGTGTTTGTGTAGGCTTGGCACGCACAGGTCCTCTTTCTTTTGACACAAGCGCAGGAAAGTGCTTTTCTATTTGTTTGCTCTGGCGTGTCGCGTCGCCGCATCAAACAGGCGCAGGCCAAAGAACCACTGATGGAGGAATGCAAATGTTGGATAGATGCTGGGGATGTGTAAAGACTCCATGCCCAAACAGTTAAGCACTAGAAGTGGTTGTAACCGCATGTGTGGCAGTGGCAGTGGACGTACAGCTTTCAATTCAGATATAATAATGCTGGAGTGGACCTCTGGTTAGAAGTGCCCGAAGTCTTGAAGGCGACAAGCCGAAGCCGCGTCGCTAACATCGCCGTGACCTTATTTTTGCAATGGCCAACTCATCAAATCCCTGCGCCCCAAACATGAACGTTGGCTGTGATTGGGGCAAACCTCACGGGCGGTGCTGCAATTTCTGTACTGAGAGGTTGATGGTATCCCACTGCGACTGCTAACTAGCCAAGTGTGTTGACCATCTTGTAGATCCAAGTGACACGTAACTCGTCGAATTCAGAGCAACCATAGACGATGGGAACCAGCACTCATACCCCCTAGTTGGTTGCCATGACATGCCTGCACACCCTAAGCGAACGACTAAAAACAACCACATGCACCAGCTCTGCTACTATGTGACGAACAGCAACAAGCAATACACCGGGGAGAAAAAAAAACTGGGTTGTTCTGGGTTTCCTGCAAAAACAAACTCCGTTTACTCTTGGGAACCAGCCGCCTTGGAAACATTAAAAGCTTAAAGGTTAGACAAACTGGCAACCAAACCCACCAGCCCTGCAACGGATTGATCTCTCAGGACGGAGCTGCGCGATTGCAGTGATATTTGACCACTTTGAATAAAGCCAGTGACTCAGCGAGCGAGTCGAGGCGCGCCTTCTCGAGAACACAACTATTGCACATTGGCAACACCTTGCACACTTGTCCCCAAGCCCGAAAAGAAACATCTTGGGGCCATTCAGCAAATACACACAGGATAAACAGGAGGTCAAAAGAGTTTGTATGCGTGAGCTAGTTGCCCAGTGGCGTTCCATGTGAAAAGCATTGTCCCTCACAAGAAAAGGGAATCCCCCCACCTGAACGACTGGGTAACAAGCCACTAAGACTCAGATACAATATGCTTTTGACTTGTGTACAGTGCAAACACATCTTTTAAAAGAGGATTGACGCCTGCATCAGCTCAAGTTTTGCCGCCCTTCCCGACAAAATGAGTGCGTCTTGGCTGTCCTTTGGCTTACCTTCACGGCAAGCTCAACCAAGCACGCTGAGTTGAACGCAAACACACAAATGTTTCAGGCCATGCGTTAGATGCTTTGGGGTGAAGCAACTTCCGTGTTTAAGACAAAGGCCAAGTCTATGGAAGGCGCCTCTACCCGACTCATGCCAATCTTCCGGCAGCCGTCAGCCGACGGGCAGAGCGTGGGCCGGAACAGGAACAACCAGGGTGAAGTTCCGAAGCCACTAACTCCTATTAGGGACCAACACATATACTACAGATTTAAGTCTATGATCATGTCTGTAAAGTTGGTCCGGCTCCCAACCACACTGCTATTTAGGCCCTTCCGCATTGCTGGCCACTGGATTTTCGCGGTCTTCACTGCTTCACAGGCGCATAAAAGCGCGCACAGGCCAGCACAGAGGATAACAAGCAAGGGGGGTGGTTTTAAAATTGGAAGCGGACCCAAATCGTTTCCCTGAAGCCGACCTGAAAAGGGTACC